ACAACAACAAATCTTTACAGGGTCAAGGATCCCTGTTGGCACACTGGTTAAGAACTTAGCTGCTAACTGAAAGCTTGCCAATTTGAGTCCACTTCAAAGGAGAAAGATTATGTGACTTAATCTTGCATCAGTATTACAGCCTTGGAACCCCTATAGAGCAGTTCTACCTTGTCCTCTAGGGTCACTGTGTGTCTGAATTAACTCAGCAGCAATGGATTCTGGGTATAATCTTTACAGGAATAGACCGCCAAGTCTGTTCTCTTACATAATGGCAACTGAAGACCAATCAGGATGCAGCTAAGCGCTCAACCAATTGTGCCGCCTGGTGCTTTATACAGACTCTCATCACAGCAACACTTAAACTTTGATATTTATTCCTTTTTAAATTCCTTTTTTATGGTTATAGTCTGGAAGGTGCTCGTTGAGTCTGGAACTAGGTTGAGTGTGGCACCCAGGGCACACGATTTAAAGAGGCACTTACTTCATCCCAGTGCTTGTGGTGGGTACTGGGACACACCACTCTTCCCAGGAAATTACTGTCCCAGACCAGGTTCAGGTGGTGGCTCCTGCAGGAAGTGGCTCAGCCATCAAGAGGCTCCTTGCCCATGATCATCCCACTGCCTGGAGCGACCCCTATTTGATGGTTGATTGAATGTAGGGGCATCAAGCAGTATAAAGGCCCAACTCAGGATGACTGTGAAGGCCATCCTAGCTCCAAAGCTGCCTGTGAAACTGGCTCAGGCTGTGGGCCTGCTTTGTAGAGTCTTCTGTTCACCTGCTTCCTCCCTTCCATGACTGCTGGTCCCATGACATTCCCTATCAACCTCTGGTGAACTGAACAACATCTCAGAGTCAGCCTCCAGGGAATCCAACCTGTACCAGCGTGGTAGTGGTGGTGGTTGTGAGCCATGGAGTCAGTTCTGACTCATAGTGACCCTGTATAGGGGTTCTAAGGCTATAAATCTTTAGGGATCAAAGCGGTTGGTAGATTCGAACTACTGGTAGTTGAGGTTAGCAGCCCAACTTGTAACCCATTATGCTACCAGAGATCCGTGTGTGACTACTGGAGTAATCCATTGTTGTTGTTAAGTTGGTTAAAATACTACCTTCCTCAAGACTTTAGTTAAAACCAAAACCCAAACCAAAAAATGCCCCCAATCCTATTGTTGTCAAATTGATTCCAACTCATGGTGATTCTATGTGTGACAAAGCAGAACTACTCTGTAGGATTTTCTTGGCTATAATCTACCAGCTGTTCCGCGGGAGAAAGATGAGGTGTTCTGCTCCTGTAAAGATTTACAGCCTTGGAAACCCTGTACAGGGTCGCTATGAGTCAGAACCGACTCCACGGCACATAACAACAACAACAACAATCTATACAGAAACCAATTGCCAGACCTTTCTTTCACTACGTGGGTTTCAGCTGCCAACCTTCCCCTACTGTGCCACTTAGGGACCTCTCTGGGAGAAATCCTTCTCAACAAGTCATTGGGCCCCCGGATACCAGCACAAACTACACACCACACTTGTTAGGTGTTTAGGTCAGGCACTGTCCTAAACACATTACATGCATTAACTCACCTAATCTCCTCAGCAAGTCTAGAAGGAGGTCCTATTGTTGTTGTTAAGTGCTGTCAAGTTGGTTCCAACTCATAGCGACCCTGTGTAGGGTTTCTGAGGAGCAGCTGGTGGTTTGAACTGCCAACCTCGTGGTTCACAATCCAGGGCTGATCCACAGTGCCACACCAGAAGTTCCCATATTCTAGACGGGTTTGAGAGAAGCTATACTTTTCTTGAAAAAACTACTTGGTGATAAAATTCTGTTAACTTAAACATGATTGAAAATAAAGAACATCAGGGAGATTAAAAAAGAGGGAAAAGTCTGGTCTGTGCTGTGGCTCACTTTCCAACCTTGAGGAAGCTGACTGGGATGAGAGCAAAGTCCTCTAGACCTGAGAAGAGACAAGATTGCTTTGAGGAGAATGGCCCCAGGGAAGAGGTGAGAGACACCTCATTGGACCACAAGAAGTGTGATTTCCATAGAAGGACTAACACTCAGAAGATGAGGTAGCTTGAGTCTTAGTTCTCGTATAAGGTCAGACAAGAGCCAATGCTGAACTGGGCCCAAACATTGCCAGATTACAGCCTTTGCTCTTTGCAATGCTGGCAGAAAGAACACTCCACCCTCCCCTCTTGCTGGTTGGGTAGACTCCTCCCAAGAACATCAGGGATTTAAATGGGTGTCCAGGTGGTGGGCTGTTTCAGCCTTACCTCTATTTTGTCTACCTGTCTGCTGTACAACTTTTCAGCAGCCCCTCTTGGAACAGCTGAGCAGCTGGACCCCCTTTAGCTCAGGAAAGAAGTAGATGCTGGGTTTTCATTATAATCCTTCACAAGGAAAGCCAACTATTCAGCAACCCATCCCTGAATTTGCTCCTTATTTATTAAAAGGCTTATTGCCTTACAAAGAAGCAAGGCAAGGATATTAGCTTCATTTTATTGGTGGAGAAACTGAGGCCCAGAGAGAAAGAAATCACAACTGAGTCAGGCCCAGGGCTGAACTTCCCATCCCAACTTGTTGTTGTTAAGTGCTGTCAAGTCAGTTATGACTCATAGTGACTCTGTATAGGGTTTTCAAGGACCAGCTGGTGAGTTTGAACCACTGACCTTGTGATTCAAACAAACCTTGAGGTTGAATGCTTATCCTATGGTGCCACATTAGGACTCCAACCTAATCTCGTTTCCTGTCTCTGGCCTGGGAGCTTGGGCAAAGCCAGGGCAAACACTCATTTCCTCTGAGTTCAGAGCTCAGTCCAGTTCCTTCCCAGAACCCTGTCTGCTTTTCCTCTCATCCCGTCCCAGAAGGCCCTGTTATCTTAGAGAGACCTTTTATTCATTTGCCAAATGCCTCCTACCACCCACCACATGCCTGTCCTAGTGGCTTCAGATCTGGCTCCAACAGTGTGCCCCAGGTGGACTCACAACTGGTAGGAGAGACATATCAGCAAAGAAACGTGGTAGGAGGGGAAGTCCAACCACTAGGGACAGAAGGTTTCAGCCCCATGGCCCCTTCTGTATTCCTGGAAGCCATTCTCTCCTCTCCAGCTTCACACTGCCCCATCCAAGCTTGAGCCTTGGATCCCTGCCCTGGTCTCCTCCCAGTCTTTCTCCCACACCCTAAAGTGCCCGGGGATCTTTACAGAGAGAGTCGACAGCAGAGCGTGGCCAGGAGCTCCCCTCTGCTGTGATCAGTACTCTGAGGTCAAATCCTGCCAGGCCTGGGCAAACTCCACACCCCCTCATTTGTACAAGGACACTGCCTACATCACAAAGTTGTCAAACCAGCAGATCTTTGTTGTCAGTTCTGACCTTTGCTGTTGTTCTTTCCAGACATGCCACACTGCCCTGCACCCTCCCTGGACTCCATTCGAGTATCCACTCAAATGACTAAAGATACATTCTTTGCTAACCTTTAAGTTAGCAGTCAAGTGCTAACCATTTGAGCCACCTAGGAGCCTAGAATGGAGTCCTGGTGTGGTCCTGCAAAAGAATACACTGGACCACAAGGTGGGTTTGAATCTCAGGGTTGGCAATTCAAACCCACCAGTTGCTCCTCAGAAAGCCTATACAGGGTCACTATGAGTCAGAACCGACTCTACAGCACTTAACAACAACAGAGACTTAGAATAGTGATAGTTTTCATTTACTGAGAGTCCTGGTGTGGCACTGTAGAAAAATCACTAGACTTCTAACCACAAAAAAAGCCCTGTTAGCGTAGCGGGTTATGCGTTGGGCTGCTAACCGCAAGATCAGCAGTTCAAATTCACCAGCCACTTCTCAGGAGAAAGATGAGGCTTTCTGCTCCCATAAAGATTTATAGTCTTGGAAACCCTATACAGTTCACTATGAGTTGGAATCAACTCAAAGGTACACCACCAACCACAAGATTGACAGTTCAAACTCACCAGCTGCTTCTCAGATCAGACTTGAAGGCACTTAACAACAGTATCATTTTACTGACTAGATGACACACTAACAAAACACACTGAGGATCCTGGGACAATCTCCAGTTAAGGAAATCCTTTCAGAAATATAAATGGATGGCGCCCTGGACGAGAGCCAGGTTTGAATCTTCAGGAACCAATCACCCCAACTCCCCTCTAGCCCTCAAATAGAAAGGTGAGGGCAGCGTTGCCAAGGGCCCCTACTCCCCCCCACCCCAGGAGCTGAGAGGTTTAACGACTGTGCCCTGGGGTTACCAGCTACCCTGTGGCAGCTTCTGTCTGCCTTCCAGGTTATGACATAACAATTGCACAATTCCAAGTTATTTTTGAAACAAACGGACAATTTCCTCTCCTGGGCACTGACAGGGACTGTGGTCCCCATCTCACCCAGAGTCCCTAACTGCCTCAGAACTTTGGAATCCAAATACACTTGGTGGGGGTAACAAGGAAATGAAGAGGCACGATTGTAAAGTGACCTAGTTTTATTTTGGTTTTGGAGGCCTGAGGGAGGCAGGTGGGGTATTCCTCAAGGCCGCAGGGGTTAGGGCTGTACAGTCGTCCCCTTCCCATGGCAGGAGGCCCAAAGATGGCTGGACCCAGGCAGCGGGGGTGGGGGTGGGGTGAGGGGGCTCAATGGATGATGGCTCCGCGGACCCAATCCCGGCAGTGGTTCTGCGAGGAGAGAGGGGAATCAGGCAGAGGCCTGGAATGGCTCAGATACGGGGAGAGAAGAGACCGAGGGAAGAGAGAGGGCACAGAATCCAACAACTGGAACTCGGAGATGGTCCGGTCCCCTACACTTTATCGCTGAGGCGGCAGGTCAGAAGTGAAGCCAAACTGTCAACCTCGAGTGATGCCAGGCGTCTCGCCGGATTTGGGGCTCTGTGCACAACCTGCTGCCACCACCCTCATAGAGGGTGCGCGGTCGGAGCCCAGTCTCTGGGTGCAGAGTATGGGGGTCAGACAGGCCCCCTTCTCCTCTTGGGCCCGCAGAGCTCAGCAGCTCACAGAGCCCGTGGGCGGCGCCGATCCTAAGTCCGAGAAGCAGTCGAACTCGCTCTGGCCCAGGAAGAGCTCAGGCAATTCCAGCACACGGTGCAACCCGAGCTCGAGCTCCAGCGATGTCAGCGCTTCCTCGTCGATGAGTTCCGCGTCCATGCTGCCTAGGGCGTGCGCGGGCTGTGGCGGGGCGGGGGTTCCCGGCGCCGGATGCAGGCCCAGGGTGCCTCCCGGGCCGCCGGGGGGCGCGGGCGCGCGGCCCGGGTACAGCGTTGCCATGGGTTGCAGGTGCGCGCTGCCGGCACCTGCAGGACCGGCGGGGAAGGGCTGGAAGGCCGGCGGCGGCCCGAAGGCCCCGTACGCCAGGGCTCCAGGTGGGGGAGGCGGCGGCCCAAGTGGAGCCCCCCGGGGCCGCAGCCCGCTGTCCAGGCCCGGACCCGCGTACGGCTGCAGAGTCCGGAGTGAGTGAGGGCCGTGGGCGGGCGCGGCGGGCGGCGGCCTCTGCATCAGGCAGTAGCCCTCGGCGAGCATCAGATGGTCGGCCATGGCGGAGGGTGACGATAAGCGCAGGCGGCCCGGTCGGGGCCCAGCTGTTCCTCAGAGGCGAGGGCCCCCGGACGCGCGCCCTCTCCGCAGCCCAGTCGGGCGAAGGAAAACCGAACCCGACCCGTGCCGCTGCTCAGCCCAGGACGCACAGGCTCAGCGCTCCTGCGCGTCCCGAGGCCACAGCTCCCGCTGGCTAGAGATCCGCACACCGAATAGGTTGGACTCCAAGACCTCAGCACCGCGCCCCTCGGAGACATCTTATACTCAGAGTCAGGGCGGCCCGCCCCCGAGAACGCATTGGCTGGATGAAGACGCCCCTGGGCTGGCCGCGCCGCGCCCCCTCCGGGTCTCAGCCCTGCCCTCTGCCGGAGCTCCGCCCCCTGGGCCCTAAACCCTGCTCTCCGCTGTCAGTTCCGCGGTCGCGGCGAGGGGTTTGGCACTTTTCAAAGGAGCTGGGTCCGGTGGTCAGGACTACAGACCCAAGGCAGGGCTTAAACTGACCGAAGGGGGTTGGGAGGTCCAGAGGTTTACGTGTCCTGCGAGCTGTAGGATCTCAAACCCAACCTTTTAGTTTTCCAGATGGTGACCTAGAATTGGTGTGGGGAGGGATTTCCTAGGAATATACAGCGAGGCATTGGCAGAAGAAAGACTTGTGATTGCCACTTCTACGCAGGACACAAGTACCTTACCCAGCGGGGGCCCCCGCGAGAGGTCAGCTGTTCATTCCCATAACCCACGAGTTTGTCAGTTGCTTCTCTTCTGTCTCCCACCGAACCGTGTCTGTTGAAGCATGTTATTAAAGTAGTTTATGAGCATCCCTCCTGAAGGGCTTGTTCAGCTTAGTATCTCCAGCGCTTGGCTCAAAGCCTGGCCTAGAGAAGGCTTTTGATCAAAGTTGGCTGAATGAACATTGAATGAATGAGTTGCAATACATTCACTTGGATCTCAGTTTGTTCATTTGTAAAACGGGGACAACAGCAGCAACAGCGACCCTATTGGGTTGTTGTGTGCCGTGCCTGGTACATGGTAACCCACTACTAGTCGGTTCCCACTCATAGCGACCATATAGGACAGAATAGAAACTGTTCCGTAGGGTTTACAAGACTAAGTCTTTATGCAAGCTCATCTTTCTCCCTTGGAACAGCCGATTTTGGTTAGGCCAACGCTTACCCATTGTGTCAGGAGGACACATAATTGTGGTTGTTGTTAGGTGCCGTCGAGTCGCTTCGACTCATAGTGACCTTATGCACAAGAGAACTAAACACTGTCTGGTACTGTGCCAACCTCACAATCATTGTTTATGCACATAGTTCTTGTTGCCACCAAGTTGGTTCCAACTCATAACGACCCTGTATAGGGTTTCCGAGGAGCTGCTGGTGAGCTTGAACTGCTGACCTGCAGTTCAAACAGACCTTGCGGTCCAGCGCATTATCCCACAGCACCACACCAGGACTCCTGCACATAGTTGTTGTTGTTAAGTGCTGTCGAGTTGGTCCTGACCCTATATAGGGTTTCCTAGGAGTGGCTGGTGAGCTGGAACCGCCGACCTTGCGATTCAAACCAACTTTGCTGTCCAGTGCATTAACCCACAGCGCTATACCACGACTCTGCTGAACATAGTTGTTGTTGTTATGTGCCATGGAGTTGGTTCCGACTCAAACCCTGTACAGGGTTTCTGTGGCTGTAAATCTTACAGGAGCAGAAAGCCTCATCTTCTTCCCACAGAACAGCTGGTAGTTTTGAATTGCTGATAGTGAGATTAGCAGCCCGATTCATAACCACTACACTACTAAATTGCCTTTGAATTGTGGTGTTGGAGAATGCTAAAAGTGCCATGGGCTGCCAAAAGAACCAATAGATCTATTTTGGAAGAAGTGCAGCCAGAGTGCTCCTTGGAGGCCAAGATGGCCAAACTTCTCTCATACTTTGCACATGTTGTCAGGAGGGAACAGTCACTAGAGAAGGATGTCATGCTGGGTAAGATGGAGGGTCAGAGAAAAAGAGGAAACCCCCTAACGAGATGGATTGGCCAGGTGGCATCATTGATGGACTCAAGTGTGGCAGTGGTAGTGAGGTTGGCCCAGGATTGGACATTGTTTCGTTCTGCTGTGCATGGGGTTGCTATGAGTCAGTTCCGACTCGATGGCACCTGACAACAACCACCATGCAACCAGAGCTTCTTCCTGAACATAGTTGTTGTTGTGATGTACAGGGTTTCCGAGGCTGTAAATCTTTATGGGAACGGAACTTTCCGCCTCATCTTTCTCCCGTGGAACAGCTGGTAGTTTTGAACTGCTCACCGTGAGGTTTGCAGTCCGATTTGTAAGCACTATGCTACCAGAGCTCCTTAACATAGCAGAGGCTCAAAAATGTAGTTCAAATGAATGAAAGGTTGGATTTAGTTTTGTCCCTAGAGACCTTCAGAATGTATGTCTTGCCTTGATAACAAGGGAGGGAGTCCTGGTGTAAGATAAAGCCCTGGACCACAAGTTCGGTTTGAACCACAAGGTTGGGGCCTTAAACTCACTAGCCGCTCCTTAGAAACTCTATACAGGGTTGTTATGAGTCAGACAGACTCAAGGACACTTAACAACAACTTGATAACAAGGGAGTATTGGTGTGGCGCTATAGGATAAACACTGGATCACAAGGTTGGTGTGAACCACAAGGTTGGTGGTTCAAACTCCCCAGCTGCTCCTTGGAAACCCTATACAGGGTCAGTATGAGTCAGAATCAACTCTACAGAACTTAACAACAACAATTTGATAATAATAATAGTAGTAACTGGGACTTTTATTATGTTTAAAACTATCCATTCAAAATCCTGTGGAACATTGTTGAACTCTGACACGAGTGGGGTCAAAAGGAACTGATTTACATTCTACCAGCATTTTATTGGGAGCAGGGCATGGACTATCAACCTCATTTTGCAGATAAGGAGAAGGCCCAAAAGGGATAGTGGTTTTCTTTGGCATCACACCCAGTCAGATTTAGCATGTGAATGTGATGTGCTTCTTTGTTGTTGTTGTTAAGTGCCTTCGAGTCCGTTCCGACCCATAGCGACCCTGTACAGGGTTTCCGAGGGTGTAAATCGTTACCAGAGTAGAAAGCCTCATCTTTCTCCCACGGAGCGACTGGTAGTTCCGAACCGCTGACCTTAAGGTTTGCAGATGTGCTTCCTTAGAGCAGCTTAAGTCTCTCCCCAGGGCCATGAGAAAACCTCCCTTGCTCCTTTCTATCCGTCTCCCCGCTAAGCAATGGCCTTAGAACCAGAGGTATATATCTAAGGTATGGCAGGAATGGCACATGCCCTGGTCACCACTTGAAGGGGTTTCTATTAGCCATCTATTAGCCATCTCAGTTTCTATTAGCCATCTCAGTTTTCATCAATAGCTATGAGACATCATTCAGCAAGTTAAAATAATATTTTTATACCTGAAAGCCTCCATGAGTCAAGGCGAATCCTGGTGTGGCACAATAGGATAAGCACTGGACTGGTAACCACAAGGTCTGCAGTTCAAACCCACCAGCTACTCTTGGAAATCCTATATGGGGTCTATGCATCAAAACTGACTCGACGACACACAACAACAACAACAATATGGGTCAAGACAGACTGTGTGATCTTGTTTTCTAGATAATAGAAAGGAAAGAAACTGAAAAACATGACTGAACACATTCTAAACCAATTTTCATTAGTGAAAGCAAGAAGGGTAAGGTTGTTGTTTTCACGCAATGCCAGAATATGTCAAGTAAATATGCGCCTGACTTATATTTTTGAGCTGATCTTGTGGTAAATTATCTAAAAGATGAGTGTCAGATGTTTGGGTAGGGACACAATTTCAGTGCTATTTTCTGTAGATATGTCTCTGTTGGGGACTTCCCGGAACTTCGGTTTATCAAGTCCATGCAGGGTGGAGAACCTTAAGTCCAGAGGCCCAAGCAATAGTCATAACTTTGCCACCCAAAGGCTGTGTGACCATTTGGAGTGCGGTGGGGACTGTCGTTTGTTTTCCTATGACCTCAGTTTTCTGCTCTGTGAATATGAGATGCTAATCTCCAACTAGCCACCCTGAGAGCTGTGGGAAGGTCCCAAGTAACTATGAGCATAGTAATATTTTGGCAAAGTGTGAAAAGGATACTAATCCAGAGCTGATTCTCCTGGACCCCTCTGCAATTAGATATTCAAACAGCAGTTTCCAAACCTGGCTGCACCTGAGACTCATCTGGAGCCATGAATTGGGGGAGGGGGGGAGGGGCTTGGAAAACAGAATCTCATACAAAGCCCACGACATAGAGTCTCTAAGGGTATTTCATAAGAATTTGGGTTTTAAAAACATACCCTTGTCATTGTAACACAGCTGGTCTGAGGACACCAGTCTGAGTCTGGAAGCCATGTGTCACCGTTTTTTCTTTGGGTGGCGGGGGGAAGTGTGTGACTTATTTAATTTAATCAACAAGTATTTACTGAGCACCTCTTGCATGGCCACCATCTGTCTTTCAGTGGAAGCTTCATGTTGCTGTGAGGCTGAACAGCTTTTAGTGGAACATCCAGACTGAGAATGTGTAAGAATGATGGGAAGGCAGTGTCTGACCTCCTCTGACTTCACAAGGTAGAGGGAGAATCAAACTTAGCATCAGTCCAAGGCCAATTCTGTGAGGCAGAGGCCAGACATGCCTCCATTCTCCAACCTTCTTTACCAATTCTGACACCAACCATCCCACCCAACATGCTCTTTTCTCTGCTGGGCTTTATAATCCATTACAGTGGCCACACAGAACTTATACATCATGTTCACGACTATGGGGTTTACTAGGGAAGTTCACAGGTTACAATTCAGGATCAGAAATGCTCAGGATACAGTTCTATAGGCACGCCTATCTCTGGTCCTTAGCCTCTCAGCCACTCAGCCCCTTGGCCTCTACCCTGCTTAGGTGATGTTACAACGCTCTTTTAGTTCTGCCAATAAATGCCCACAGTGCACTCCATTCCTCTATAA